CTGCGTTCTCCTCGTGCTTCGCCTTCACTGTCGTCGGAACGACAATCTGACAGAAACAGAGTGGGTCGTGAGGGTGCAGGGTGGCAACTGATGGTCAGATATTAAGCGCTTAATCGGATTAGCGGACATAATTGCTCGAGGTATGAGTGTGGTGGTTAATGCTCGTGTACGAGTGCTCAAAATGTTGCTTTCGCGCAAAAGCACGCACCCTGGCGGATAGGCTTGGAAGCTTGGGGAAGAGCTTGTCATGGTCCTCCTGTAACATCTGCAATCACCAAGAGTTATAAAAATCGCAAATGTTTATCCCAAAAAGGTTGACAATTAGTGTTGTCTTGGCCGGACACCGGAGCAATCGCAGGCGTGCGAAATTGCGGTAGTGAAGCGGGAGTCGCCTCATTTACTAGGGAATAAAGAGTACGCGATCAGATACTGACTCGAGAGGAGCGGAAGGCGTCGGAAGGAAGTGAAGCCGCGAGCAGCGCCACCGCGAGAAAGAGAACGGTCTTTGCCATTGCTGCCATATCTAATGAGCAGCACGTAAGTGAGCCTGCGTTGAAGCAACTATAAGACTAGTAACTGTTGGCGCGGAAGTCTGCTGGAAACGAGTGACTACTGGGAGCACTTGGATGCGAGAGCGAGGAAAGCTGGAGCTGGAGCTGCTTTGTGACGGATTGAAGTCGCGTTCTGATAAAAAAAATGAGCTGATGGCTCCGAGTTTCTAGGTTGCAGAGGGGGCTGGTTGCTGCTGGGATTGATGGCTGAAGAATTGGATACCCTGGTCAGGCTTGCGCCCCGCGCTATGTATCTTGCGAAAACCAGGGGCAGGGGTGCAAGCACACGGCATCGAACTGCACGATCCACTGGTGTGGCGAGGCGATGACGGGTGTGCGACAGGTTCAGCTCGTCCCTTCGCCCCAGCGCAAGCGTCGCTAGGTCAATCGCAACCACCTAAATCGCACGCCACTACTTGGCTCCCAAGGCACAGTTGACTCTCGTGTCGCCGAAGCTGTTCGTGTGGCAACATTCGGTACACTCCGGACTACAGAATCGTGGCGCAGCAAATTGCTTCGATTGCGGAGTTGAGAAGCCAACTCTCAGCGCCCTGCCGTGAAGAGGTGGACGCGACACGCGGAATTACTGGACCCCCATTTGCAGCCTCCAGGGGGATCAGGGGGAGAAAGCTTCCGCAAGCATTGCAAAGTGGTATCCGAGCCTGATGTTGAGGTACGTCATTCGAAGCGCGACGAGGCTCCGTGGGGGCAGTAGAGCTTGATTCGAACCACTTGCCGACGACCACGGGCGGTTCGGAGCCCTCAAAGAAAGAAAAGGCGCAACGCAAGGGTTCGTGCCCGGAGCGCCTTCATTTCACGACAATCGCACCTCCGCTGCAGAAAATCAGCAAAGTTCTGTAACAGCGTGGACGCATCTTCTTCGCGAGTGTCACTGTTATGATATAGTAGTAAGTGTCAATGAAATATAACGTGGGAATACAAAGTCGCTATTGCAATGAAGGCACGAGGTTATATAACATCGGGACGTGGGTAGGTTCGGCAATGTGGCGACAGTGCCTGACGCGACTCGGGAAAGGGTTGGGCCAACAAATAAGGCCAAACGTGACGAGTCGAAGAGTTCGGGTATACGCGCTAACGTACGACTCAGTAAGGAATGGAAATTCCTTACACTACCCCCCCCCCCCCCCTCTAAACGAGATCGTGGACATCGGAAACATTCCGACGTTGATAATAAGCTGTTAGAATCGGGTGTGATTCGATGTCAGCGAGGGGCACCCAGGTGTCATCCTTAGACGTCCGATCGCGCCATCGGACGAGAAAATCCACCATGCGACGGTTCTGCTGCATTGTGACTCGATGGCCGAGAATGTTCAGAGGCTCGGTCGTCGGTTTCTGCAGAGGTGTCAGCTTTGGGACCATGCGTTGACATGCCAAATCTGATGAACTGGGGATGTAGGGTCGTAGCAGGCTGACGTGGAAAGCCGGGTGGTGACGCCAATCCGCCGGGAGCCGGAGATGAGCGGTGACAGGTGTCACCATATTTGTCACTTGAAAGGGGCCACAGAATCGGGGTCGGAGTTTGCTCAGGATTGGCAGACGCAAATTGCGAGTGTCGAGTAGGACGAGATCTCCCACTTTGTAAGTAACGTCACGTCGATGACGATCGGCTTGTCGGCTTGCGACCAGGTTGGCTTTCCAGATTACTTCAGCTGCTTTTTCAGATGTCTTCGGCAAATCGCTGGGACCGGGGCACGGGTGTCTCGATGTTTGGTGCAGAGGGTACCACTGGGTCATATCCGTGATTGAGGAAAAATGGAGATTGATGGGTTGTTGCGGAAGGCGCGTTACTATACGCGAATTCCAGTAGCAGAAGGGATTTCTCGCATGTCTGTGGGTCAGTACAGATAGTCCGAATGAGTTGCTCCATGGTTTAGTTGATTCGTTCAGTTTGCCCGTCGGTCTGTGGGTGGTAGGCGGAGGAAAACTGT